TGCACAGCACCCCCCAATAACAGACCCCACACTCCTACCCTTGGTGCTCATGCAGACACCTCTTGTCTGTGGGGCCCGATGTGGCCTATAGCAGTGTCCCTATTAAACTTTCCTAAACCCTTCTCAGACCCTGGTAGTTCTTTACCAACCCAAGTAACTAGCTCGCCATTGTGCCAAAACACCTGAGGCAGAATTGGCTAAATTTTACAGATTAATGATGCAGGTTATTTAGCTAGAAAGGTGAGATTAATGCTTACAAATAAAAAACAACATACATACTCAAGGTGGGACAAAGAATCCACAAGGACATCTAAGACCCTCCACGTGCATCCCACTGTGGCCTCAGGGCCTTTGCACTGGCTGCTCTTTCAGCCAGGAACTCTCTCCCTCTGCTTCTAAAACACCTCCAGGTGTCTGCTCAAATGTCTTCCCTGACCTTATTTTTCTCCATGTAACTTATCACCGCCGGACATTGTGTGTATTTTACTTATTTTTCTCTGTGTCCCCCACCAGGCTGTCTGCTGCATGAGAATGGAGACCTGCCTGCTTCACTCCCTGCTGTGCCTGGTATCTGGAACCCGCCCAGCACACAGTAGGACCTCAGTGAATGTGTGTCGGGTGTATGAACGCTGTAGGCCACAGACAAGAATCTCCCCAGCAACGATGGTAAGAGTCATTAATTCACTACTTGCTGAGCCCTACTGTGTGCTGGGCACTGACCTGGGTGGGAGGCACACAGTGGGTGAGACACACAGTGAGCACACACAGTGTGTGAGGAGGGACACGTGCTCTGGAGAGCACACAGAGTTCAGATAAGTCAGAAGTTCAGGGTGGAGGAGGAGAGGGCCGGGTTGGGGGGCCAGTGGTGGCAGGGGAGACAGAGAGGTAGGGCCCAGGTCGTGCAGGGCTTGATGGCTCCTGTGAGGGCTTTCCCTCTGGGCAGCGGAACCACGGCTGGGTGCGGAGCAGTGGCCGAGTCCTGAATGCTATGCAGGAAAAGAAGTGGGTGTCTGCTGGGGAGATGTGCGTGGAGGAGGCTGTCCCTGTAGACTGTGCAGGCAGGGAAGGCTCCTCCTCTGAGGTGACATCTGAGGGGAGCCCTTGTATGGACCGTGTTTCTACCTTCTGCAGACTGGATGCCTTCATCTGCCCTGCAGGCCTAGGCGGGACACACCCTGTTCTCAGTCACCTGGACTTGGCCTCCTGCCTCCCTTGTGGGCCCTCTCACCCCAGGAGGAATCCTTCTTCAAGGTCTAACCCCCCACCTTTTCCACTGGACTTGGACTCACACTGAGCCACTGTCCACCTGCCCAGCTCACCCAGAGTCAAGTCCAGACACTTGGGGTCGCCATTCAACCCTAGAACCCATGAAGTTACTCAACTGGCCAGTCCTCAGCCTGCTCACCTGCCTCGCCTTTCCCTCCTGCAGAAACCCTGTGACAGCCCCTGTTCACAGCGCCCTGCCCCTCCGCTCCTGGCCCCGGGATTCCCCCCGTGGTGTGGCCCCACGTTGGGTGCCGGCCCACCGCCAGTCCGGTGAGTAGAAACTGCCTTTTCAATGGCAGTTGTCTCCTGATCTCTTGGCCTTCCTGAACCACAGATTTTCTACTAAAATAATCTATTTCAAACCAGCCTGTGAGACTCTTTGCAGACACTTATAGTAAACAAATGAAGAACAAAAGACCTGTATAATTTTTACATCGTCAACAAGTTTAATATTTTAATATAAATTAGAATTCCTTTCCCCCATAATATCATAGGCTCCTTGAGGGTGGAGGAGACATAAACATTATGTGGACAGGACCTGCAAGGTCCTAAATATCTGTCTTCCCAAACTGAGGGCTCAGGCCCAGGCTTAACCATGTCCTGCCTTCACACTGTGAGTGGAGTTTCATTGGTTTTCAAATTAAGCTTTTACACCTAGCTTAGTAGAGAAGTTGTCAGTTTCAAACTAATCTTTCCAGTAATAACCAAGTTACATCACTTGTGAGCCTCCCTGTTCCCTGAGTAAATCAGTTAGATCCACAAATGTCAGCAGGGAAGGAGTCAGTACAGCGTATTTACACACACACTGCGTCTTTGGGAGACAGTGGGGCTGCACTCTGGAAGATGTCAGCTCCTGACTCATTTAGTTGGGAGCATCCATCTTCACATGTTGGATTTCCAGAGAAGTGTCCAGAGGGGAGAGTGGACTGGAGCCGGGCTTGGCTGTCACCCACGGAAGGGAGGACTGGAAACCTCAGGCATCTGTGGTCCTGGGAGCAGCTTGCCCCGGGGGAACCGCTAGCAGTGTCCCTTCCTAGACTGCTGTCCTGCTTAGAGGCAGGCCCAGCTGCTGTAACAGAGAAACAGGGAGACGTGGCCCTGGGTCAGAAGTGCCAGTTCTGTAGGGTAGGTGCATCTGCGAACACAGGTGCAGCAGGACGACCATGGTTAATGACACTGCATCGTGTCAGGGACACTCATCAAGAGAGTAGCCTTGAGATGCCCCCACCACACAAAGTGAGAAATGGGTGAGGAGGTGGGTGTGTTAATTAGCTTGCCAGTAGTAATCTTTTCACTATGTATATACACACCGAAATTTCATCATGTACTCCTTAAATTCATAGTATTCTTGTAAAAAAAAAAAAAAGACGAGGTCTGGGATGTGAGTGGCCAGCATCTGGACCGTCTCTGACTTCCACAAGACAGAAATGACACACCTGCCAGGCTCAGACCCGACCTGCAAAGGGTGGCAGCTTTTGCTTCGTTGTTCTTGGAAACCAGCCGGCAGGCTGGGCGGAAACCCGGCAGCCACACGGAGGCGGAGGCCCGGCCACCGGCCGCGCTGCGCCCGGGATGGCGGCCCCTGTGCAAGGCCTCCACTGAGGTCCCGGCGGCGGAGAGGAGCCGCCCCCCGGGCCTGCCCGCCCCGTGCAGCCCGGCGGGGTAAATGAGGATTGCTTTAAACTGCTGCGTTTAGGGGCGGCTGGTTTCAGGACAGCAGGTTCCTGAATGCCGCCCCGCCCTCGCCCCCGCCTGCTCCGGGTCCTCAGACTCCCCTCACCTTTTCAGACTGGGGTTTGTGCCCCGCAGAGCCACAGGTTGAGATCACCCCATGTGACAGGGTTTGGAGGTACAGAGGTTGAGTGAGGTCCTGAGGGTGGCCACACCCTGTTGGTCTGGTGTCCTTACAGGAGAGAGAGCCCCCAGAGCTGGCTCCCCGCCCCATGTGGACACAGCGAGGAGGCAGCCAGCTGGCGGCCAGGAGGATTGTCATCACCAGAAAGTGACCTCGCTGGACTTTGCTGGGCCTCCCCCCACCGGAACTGTAGGAAGATGAACTTCTGCTGTCCAGCCTCCTGGGTGGTGACCCTGGGTCGTGGCGGCTTTTCCAGCCTTGGCAGCTCTGCACACACTCCCTCCTGCCTGATGCTTTGTGCAGCTCCCGCCCAGCGACTGTGCTTCTAACTTGGGGAGGGATAGGAGGGGCATCGGCCAGGCCCCCCTCCTTATTCCCCCCTCTCGAAGCACCTGCTCTTCCCCACAGCACGGCTCAGGCAGTAGTGTGGCTTAGATGTCCCCGTACAATGCTGCTCCCATCCTCCCAGGTAGGTACGGGGCCTGGCACACCCACCTGCTCAATTTTTAGGAAAGATGCTTTTCTTGGCCAGGAAAGTGAAGGCCCCCTCTGACCCAGAAATCCTGCTTCCAGTGTAAATGCCAGTGGAACGTGGGAGCCGGCCTAGCAGTGAGTCCCGGGCCCTGAGCAAGAACAGGCCCAGCATGCCTCATCAGGAGCACAGACGAGCGTGGCCCATCCACACAGGGGACACTCACCAGCCACGGCCTCAGAGTGCGTCGCCCAGATGGCCAGTCCCCAAAGAGGGAAGTAGAACAGAAAAGCCCAGTGCTGCGGCTGAGAGGTGCCTGTCGGGGAGTCAGAAGAGGAGGCAGAACAGACACAGGACTGTCACTGAAGTCAGGGCACTGGACCCCTGGGAGAGGTTTGTTTTCTTTTACTGACTTGAGCAGTGAGGACAGTGGATCTTCAAACTATTAACAACACACACACACACACCCCTAT